AGGTGGGGTGACATGCGGCCTGCACCCCTGGCCCACCACCCAGGGCACCCCCGGATCTCACACGTCTAATACTCTCACATCCCCAGGTAGAGAGAAAGTGTTAACAGAAGCACCAGTGGTCTTTGTTCTCTCGCTGTCAACCACTTGCAGGAATGCACACGGCGGGGGGTGGGGGGGGGGTTTCTGATTCTGGAGACCCGGGCACAAAAGGCCGATGGGCAGATCCGAGCTGTCAGTCCCCATGACCAATCGAGCAGGTGCTGCCGTGCAGGGTCGCCCAAACACCTGTGTTGGGTCCCGGCTGAAAACAAGACTCACCCAGCAGCCAGCCCCCCTGCGGGCACCCCACACGTCTCAAGCGGACAGGCGATCGCCCTGAGAAAGACCAAAGGACACTCAGCTCGCTCAGGCGTGAAGCAGCCACGGAACAGGCCAGGCACCGAGACTCGGACGCACCGGAGCCTCTGTCCGAGGTCAGGGCGTCCTCCACGCCAGACAACGCCGCCGCCTGGCCCTTCAGACTCCGCGATCGCTCGCCCTGAGGGTGCGAGGGCACAAGGGACCCCGAGGAAAGACCGAGGAGGCAGAGGCGCCTGGCCCACGGCCGTGAGGGCAGGGACTGGTCGCGAGGGCACTCAGCCCTGACCGCGCCGCCCAGAGCGGGCTTCCTGCGACGACCCTGCGACCACCCAGGGCGTTGGGAGTTTCCACTTCCCGGCACCGCAGGCGCCTTCCTTCCAAACACGGGGCCTGGGACTCAAAGAGAACAACCCGCTCAATCTCAGGTCGGTTTACAGTAGGGAGAGGTGGGAACACCAGGCTCAGGGTCAAAGGTCAGTCGGTGTGCCTGCACTGCTCACACCACGCGGCCACTTTAATTGTGGGATTGACGGGAAGCGGGGTCCAAGCCCTTGGTGAGTTCAGAGGCGGTGAGGAGGAGGAGGGAGCAGCGGGCGCCTTTCCAGCCACCTGGGGGGGGGGGGGAGCGGGGGGGGGGGTAAAGCAGGATGTGCGTCCTTCCTCGGAGCGGGCCGGCCCCGCCACGCGGCCACTTGGCCACTCGGCCACGCGGCCACTCGGCCAGCACTGAACAGAGGTGCTCACGCTCAGTCACTCGGGAGACGTTTGGCTGTTTTCAGTGTGGACAGCGAGGCTAGGAGCAAACATGAACCTTCAGAGAATCAGAGGTAGCCTTTATCTGCATTTGCTTTTTTTAAAACGAAAAGGTATTTAGAAACCACCTTCTGTAGTGAGTTGGCTACGCCAATACATTCACTGGGGACAGTCACGTGGCAAAACGTACCCAGAAAGCACGAGGCGAGGGCCCCGCGACGGCATCACGCACCAGGTAACTGGCTGGGCGGCCTGGCCACACACAGAATCACACCCGGGAGGGGCGTGCGAGCAAACACGACTCCCCTGGCAGACACCGCAGGCCGGCAGGACAGCGCGGGGTCGCGGCCTCCACAGCTACGACGGTGTCGACACAACAGTGACCTTGTGGCTTCACAGGACGGCCGACCAGAGAAGCCCGGAGGCGTCACTCTCGCCGGACACGGGCCACACAGACGCCTGCTCTCCGCTTGGCCAAGTGCTCCCGGGGCCACGGCAGACGACCAGGAACCCAACAAGCCACAGAAGCACCCACGGGCGTGCAATGAACCCTCTTAGATGACGCCTGCGGACCTCCGTGAGCACACGCCCCTACCCCAGGCCGCAGGCTCCTCGGGGAACACGCACGGCCACCGGCGCCGGCGAAGGAGGAGCCGCCACTCGCCCCCAGAACCCGGCACCGGGCGGTCACAGCCAAGCTCGGCTCCTGCTTACAGTCAGTCAGACGAGAACGGCGATGCGGGTCGGACATAATTACAAAAGGAGGTTGTCAAAATCAGTGCAATTATTTTGAGTTGAAATTTTCCTTACAAAAAAGAGTGTGTGAGACGAGAACGGCCCGTGGCCAGGCTGCAGAGCCGAGAGGACAGCTTGGGGGACGGGTTAAAATATAAATAAGAGAGTTGCATTCTGAAAGTGAGGCGCACGAACACTGAGGACATTTCTCTACTGTACATTCCTTTTCGCGCGAACGTGAGAGATGAGTCCGAGAGAGGTCACAGGGAGTGTCTATGGCTTGTCCGGGCCACTGGGATTGTCCACGGTTGGGGTCACGCCAGCTTCTAAAGTTCCTCCGACTGGAACCACCTTAGTGTGTAGGGAAATGCCCATGAAAATCCTTTAACTGTCCATCCACTCAAAGTCCCACCCAGGACCCCAGATCTTAACAGCCCCCCAGAACAAGCCCAGCACCTCCAGGACTCAGGGCGGACAAGCCGTCCCGGCCCCACAGGCCCTTGGGGACATCTGGGGTCCCACCCACAGGGCGCTTGGCTGGTCCGCCCTTCACATATTGTATCAAATATATAATTTGATTGAAAAACTGCCTTGCAAAAAGAAAATTTAAATCTCCCCGCAGGTCAGTGTAACATTACATTGCTGCGCATGTAAGAAACAATTCGTCCAGAAAACTTACATTTGTGGCTTTCAAAAATAAATCAGCCGGCAAAGCTGCAGGTAAACGTCAGGCGACTCGTACAAGCTGGGAAAGTGACTTCTAGCTTACAAATCGGGTGCCACGTGCACCAGGATGCCCGCACGGGCCAAAACAAACCAGAGCAGAAAGGCAAAAGGAACAGCAACTTCGGCACCGAGCAACAGTAAACAACATACAACGCACTTCAGCGCCGCCACCCCCGCCCCCGCTGCAGGAACGGAGGGGTGCCCGCTCCTAGCCGCACGCCGGGCCAACAGCTCCCTCCCGGGGCCGCGGCCAGGGCTCCGCTGTGGGTCCAGGGCGCACACATTCACTCCGGGGAGCGTGAGGGCCACCCCAAGAAGCAACGCGATCTGGGACAAGAAAAGCTGGGCCCTTCCGTGCAGCAGCCAGCGAGTCAGTGTCCGCGTGAGGGCCCCTCAGACAGGAAACCCGGCCCAAACGGAGACAGAGCCGCCCCTTCTCAAAGCAGAGGCTCCCCAGCCTCACCGAATCACCGAGCCCGGCCACCTGCACGCGCGGCACAAAGGGCTCTTCTGCAAAATGGCGACTTTGATGGCTCTGCGGGGAGTTGGGAGGGGGCTTGTCGAATGCGACAGATAGAAGTGAGGGGATGGGGCTGCGCTGATCTTCCTCAGAGAATATTTTCAAGCAGCTACGAAGGGCACCAACAGAAGAATCTAATTGGAGAGCTCTTTTAAAGAGGCGAGATAAATGCCCGTTTTTCTTTGATACGAATCCCAATTTCTACACCATCATTTCATTTCACATTCAGTTTGCTTCAAGCAAGGCACACCTTACTAACAGTGGGGTGGGGTACAGACAGCCAATGGGGGTGCCCTCCTCGGCCTGAGCCTGAGGTGGCCCCAGGTGGGGGCGAGCAGTCAGGACGGCCGGGGGGCTGCTGATGCCTTTAGCGTGCAGCATTTATGAAACAAGCACAGGCTACAGAAAGGAAAGTGCTGTGGCCACTGAAAAGCAAATGTTGCCTCGAAATAATTTGTAAAGAATTTAGGTGTAACTTTCTGCCAGGTTTTAGCTTAGAGCTTCATGGCCAGGGGCCCCCTCCACAGGCTCTAGACGGGGTCCCAGATGTCAGGCAGCCCCTGGCCCGGAGGCCGCAGCGAGGCCAGGAGCCTGCACTTCCTCCAGGCACCACGCCGCCCGGACCGCGATCCTTTCGCACATGTGACAAACACGCCTTTGAAGCAAACAGGGTTCGATGATCCTAAAAGTGGCTGGAAACCGACCTAACTTGAGAGCATGTGAGTGAAGGTCCCTCCTGGGTGGGAAGCCGGGATGCGCCAGGAGCGGGCGGTGTCCGGAGCAGGAGAAAGTGCCACTTGCCAACAGAAGGACAGGGAGCTGCGACGTTTCTCAGAGCAAAGGCTTCTGTCGTTGAAACAGACGAGATACAGCAAGAAGAGACGTATGCCACCGATGAGACACCACATGCACACACGTACACGCACGCACCACTCAGCGTAGACAGCTGCACAAACCATGTCCACCCTTGTCACTGCCGCCAAAATCCGGGCCGAGTGTCCACGACAGCCCCTCACACTCCCTGTCCCCCGGCCCTCGGAGCACAGACAGGAGACAGTGGGCGCCCACTCCAGCGGAGGCAGCCCCGTCGGGACCCCCGCCACCACGGCGCCAGAGGTAAGTGTCAGCAGGGACAGGAAACAGCACAAAGCAGCACGGGAAGGCTGTCTCCTTCCTCGAGTCTCTACAATGGACGTGGACCGGACCCTCGATGGAACTGCTGCCGGGACGGAGCCCACGTGGCACAGAGCCGTCGGCTGTCACCCTTCCAGCTGTCGTGGCATCCCTCTTAGTGCAATGGTTTCTGGGGTGGCAACCCCACGCCGGGGCCCAGAAGGCAGATCGCCGCGGCAGGGTCTAGCCCTCACGCTGGTGGTCGTCAGCCGCCCTCCGGGGACAAGGCGCCCGGCAGAGCCCCGCCGACGGCTTTCTGTGGGTCTCTGCACACAGACCCTATGACACCCAGCACACGGACGTGCCTCCCAGGGGCGGAAAGATCCGTACATTCCACTTGTGCTTCACCGGCTGGGCCACACCCGGCGAGGAGGCAGGGCGGGCGCGAGTGAACGCTGTGAGCGCACCGGCCCCGAAGGTACAGCGACAGTCTACACGGGGCAGTCGCTGTCAGTGAGTCCGCGGCGCAATCTGCGCCGAAGCTGAGACCCATGGGGCGGCGGCCTCCCGGCCCCGACACCAAGCACAAGAAGTTCCCGTGCCAGGAACTGAGACAGCGCCGAGCGCTCACATTAATACTGCAACCAGATATATATATTCTCTACATTAAAGACATACAGTGAAAGGATTGTACTGTATCATCACCACAGACCCGTATTCTTTAGAAACTTTGGAAAATAAATGTCACAGTCCTAGAGGACCAATCTCACCATTAGACTGTCGGCATACCATCTTTTTTCTTTTTTTTTTGTTTTTTTAATAAATTTTTATTAAAATGGCACTTGGCTGCCAATCTCTCTGGACCTAGAAATGTTGAGTGGGCGTGGTCTCTGGCGTCCCAGCCCCTTTCCCCCGCAGGTGGGGCGCCCACCGCGGGTCCCTAAGAGCTTGCGGAGCCACGTCAGGGCACACGAGTGTCGCGTGAGACACACGTGAGTGACAACGTCAGAATGGTCAAGGCTTTAAAACCACAATAGTGTTTGCGTTGCTTTCACCCTCAGAGAACGCTCACAGCTAGTTTGAGCCCATCAATTCCATACAGAATCACGTGTTAAAAACAAGTAAATCGAATGACCAAATAAATTAAAAATGTTTTAAAGCCCTGAGTTCATAGACTGCTTTTAGGAGATGTTTTTAGGAAATACGGGACTATTAATAAGCAGCGGATAGATTTTGGCAAACCATCTCTCCTGCGACAGTGGGGTCTCATACAGGTCTGCAGCTCAGAACGAGTGTGAAATCTGGACGGAAGGCATTCTGGGAAAGGAGCCTCGGCTGAGTCCACGACGTGTGGTGTCCAGTGCTGGCTGCCACGGGGCTGGCGTCCGTTGGTCTGAGTGTCGCTGGTCTCGTGTGAATCCGACTCCGCACACAATCGTAAACACAACATGTCAAGCAAAGTACATGGTGCGCAGCGTGTCCTGGTGGACCTGGACCGCCTTGGCCAGTGCCTGGTGGTCCCGCCCGTTACTTTGCCCGGAGGTATGGCTTCCTTCAGCACTGGGGACAGGGACAGAGACAGCTTGGTCAGCTCGGCCGGGCCACGCCCCCGCGCCCGGCCGCGCCCACCAGGACCACGCCCCCGCGCCCGGCCGCGCCCACCAGGACCACGCCCCCGCATCAGACCAGGGCCACGCCCCCGCGCCCAGCCGGAACCACGCCCCGCGCCCAGCCGGGGCCACACCCCGTATCAGACCAGGGCCACGCCCCCACGCCCGGCCAGGGCCATGCCCCCGCCCGCCGGACCACGCCCCCGCGCCCAGCCAGGGCCACACCCCGTATCAGACCAGGGCCACGCCCCCACGCCCCGCCAGGGCCATGCCCCCGCCCGCCGGACCACGCCCCCACGCCCGGCCAGGGCCACACCCCGTATCAGACCAGGGCCACGCCCCCACGCCCCGCCAGGGCCATGCCCCCGCCCGCCGGACCACGCCCCCACGCCCGGCCAGGGCCGCACCCGGCCAGCTGCTAACGGCTGGGCTGGAGCATCCGGGCCTCTGTTGGCTCCGGAAAAACAGCTGCCACAGCCTATCTGGGAAGCGACCCCCGCTGGGGCCTGTGGCCAGGAGAGGCTGCCACTCACCTGTCATGTTCTTTATCCACCAGGTGGTACCTGGCGCGGAAGGCCACCAGGTGAGCGTAGTATGCTGGCGCTGGGATGGACACCGAGCGCGTGCAGCGCACGTAGGTGTGACACAGCTGGTAGGTGAGGATCTGCAGCTCGTCGGAAGAGAAACGATTGTCATCCCAAAGCACGTGGTAGTGGGAGGGCCTGCTTGTTCCCTGAAAGCAGACCGGGGGTCAGAGACAGCGCTCACCGCGAGGGCACCGCCAACAGGCTGCGCCCCGCCGCTCGCCGCTCACCGCTCGCAGGCTCCTTACCAAGGACACGGTGTTTAGCGACAGACAGCGACGTTATTACGCATCATTGTAAAAGGCACCAGGAGATATATTTCATCGGGCGTGTAAACACAGACCGCACACACTTATTCACATACAAAAAACCATAGAAAAGATATAAAACACTGGAGAAATGTTTGTTCTGGGGCTGCATCACCGTACAGGTCGGGTTTCTACAATGTTTTATTTACAGGCAAGAAAACCATCTCTTAAAACTCACATGTTGACCACACTTTAAAAAGGGAGTTGGCACACGTGTGTTACTTGTGCAGTTTGTGAAGCTGGAAATCTTTTGAAACTGAAGGAAGTGGGAGCTGGCAGCCTTGCCCCCCAACACAGGGCACAGAAGGCACCGGCGTGGGCACCCTCACAGCTGCCACACTGCTCAGCCGGCCCACCCGCCCGCCTCCCACAAAGTCCCGCCTGCCTCCTCCGGTCCGGCCACGGCTGCCCGCTCACCCCTGTGCTCGGCCCAGTGACAGATGTCACGTCCCCGCCCCACCCCCACTTTGCCATTTCGTTGGTGGCTGTTAAAGGGGTGGGGGTCGAGGTGTTCTGTGTACGGGGGCCTGCCCCTCGAGGCCCATGTGTCTCAGCCCTAAATGTCTCAGCAGAGGACAGGCCAGAGCCCCTGCCCCTCCGTGTTCGCACGTGGGCCTGTGTGGAAGGCGCCCGCTGGAGGCCGTGAGGGGGGGAGGCTGCCCAGGGACCCACAGGGAGGCCACTGTCTTCAAGGCTCAGTTTCTCCTTTTGCACTTAACAACCAAACACGGAAGAGCCGTCCGGGCCTTGGGTGCACCAGGCCCACAGGCCACACCGCGGCGTCGGGCAGGAACAATTCCCAGGAAACAATCCGACTACCAAGTTCACAGTGAAGTCTCAAGTTTTAGGTTCCCGTTCTCTGGGGAGGGTTACTCAAGTCCTGCACAGACTCAGACCGAGCCCGTGTGGGGGGCTCTGAGGCAGGCTGGACTCCCGGTGCTCAGCTGGCAATGGGCTGCCGGCACGGCACCCGTGTGGCAGCCCTCCCTCAGGACCACCCTCTTCCCCGAGAGACGGGACAAGCCAGAGACACTTCCCCAGGTGCCCAGCAAACACACGTGGGGGTGACATGCGTGGACCCCACCACAGGGTGTGAGCTCATGGAGGCGGCCCCTCGTCCCTCACTGCCCTTCCCACATCTCCGGAGCCCTCCTCGTCACCTTCACCAGGTGGTCTCGTCACCTGAGCTCTCACCCCACTTGCTAAGCACCAGGCCCAGGGACACCCTGCCCCCACCCGTGCGCCTGCACCTGGCACTCACCGCTCGTGCCTGGACCTTATCTCATCTGAAATGCACCCCAGCTTCCCAGTGGGTCCCTTGTCCCCAACGCCCGGTGGTCCCGAGCCCCTGACCACGGCTGGTTCCCCTGCTAAGTGCTCCCCACCGAGTCCCACCCCGAGGGTCACACCTGCATGTGTTTGCTGAGTGTGACCTGACGTCACAGACGCTGAGAGGCCCAAAGGGGACCCTTTGCCTCACCTGGATGCCAGCGTGACTGCACAGGTAGAAGTCGAACTCGGTCGGGTGGGTGATCTTCGTGTCCACGGTGGTGCCTGCTGGAATGTTTCCGCTCTTCCCGACCTTCAGCAACACAGGAGTGTCAGCCATGCCCGGAGGGGGGCGTGGGGGGCAGCCGAGGAAGCCCAGCAAGCCCTGCCCACCGCCCTGAGGCTGGGCCCCCCTCCACGGGCCCTGTTCAACTCTTTACATTGACGGATACATTCGCTCAGCGCTTTTCGGACCGGCCACAGCCGTGGCTACTCACTGGCGGGTTCTTTCAGAGCCGCCTCCCGGCCCTTTATCAGCTAACGCACGTCTCCGCCGGACCCGTGCGATTCACAGGGCCACGTGCTCGCCAAACGGACGACGGCGCTTCTCTAACACCCCAGGCCCGGACCCCACACAGCCCTCCGCAGCAGCGGCTCCCAGAGCCCGGCAGGCCCCGCGGCGAGGACACGCACCCGCTCGTTCTTGTCCGTGCAGAAGAGCCGCGTGTGGTGCCGCTTCTGCACCACGATGAACGTGATGCCCGGCTGGTAGTCCTTCTCCAGCTTGATGCAGGCCTCGCGGATGGCCAGCAGCTCGTGGTGCAGGACCTGCGGGGACAGAGGGCGTCAGGGCCAGTGTGTCCTCCGGGTCTGCTGCCGGGAGCAAGCCGCTTCGTCACAGGCAGCACGTGACACGTATCTGCAGCCACGGCTCCGAGTCCCGCCGGCGTGTTCATGGCTGCGTGCTCTGCCTTTCGGGACCTACGCTCCGTGTGTACAACGGAGAGACTGACACCCAGGGCTCAGGGGCCAGCGGTTTCAATGAGAAGACGGTAAAGCGCTCAGCACGGAGTGTGCGCAGTGCTGGGTGAAGGCCGCGCAGGGGCATGGGGCGCGGTGGGGGCACAGCACAGCCCTCGCCACGTCTGTCGTGGAGAAGAGCGAGCGGGCCTCGTAGGAAAGACACTGGCTTAGGTGTCGGAGGCAAGTCCAAGACCTCGTCTGACACGAGCCGCTGTGTGGCTGGGGAGCCAGGCACCCTCTCTGATCCCGGTTTTCACTCTTAAGATGGGATCACTGACCTTGCAAGCTTGCTGTGCTGACTAAAGTGATGTGCAAAGCCTGTGCCGGGAGCCCCGGAGTTAGGGCACAAGGACGGCGAGGCCCCGTCTCGTTCCCTCCGTCTGTCATCAGAGAAGACGGGGGACGTCCCCCACACACCCCTGAGGCTTCAGTGACTGTCCCCACTAAACACTGTTCTGCTGCCCTGACTATGCCTCCAACCCTACAGGAGACGAGGGCGGAACTAGACAACGAAGAAGGCTGGAGCTCAGAGGAGCACCCTTCCAGCCGGAGGGAGGCGACCCGGAGTTCTGCACTGGCAGTGCCACGGGGTCCACCGGCCTCGGCACCCAACAGGCGAGGGAGCGTCCAGCCCATCCCCGTCGCCGACCGCGGCCTCGGAAGAGCCGCTGCCCTGGGCCCCGCCCTGCACCCAGCAGCTCACCCAGGCACCAGGGCGGCCGTCAGGCTCCTCCCACCCGCACCCTGCCTCTGCCCCCTGAGAGCATCACCAGGTAACGCGTGTGTTGGGGACGTGGCGGGAGCAGAGGGGCAGTCACCGGCCAAGGGGCACACGCAGGGATAACCTCCCAAGACCTGGGCGGGACGACTCCTGCCGCCCAAGGCCCCGACCTGGAGGCGCTACGGCTGCTGTTCCCGCTCACCGCCCTCCTGCGGTGCTCCCTGCGCCTATGACGCACCCCGCCTTCCAGACCGCCCTCCCTCCACGTCCCCCAAGATGCTGCCCCTCCCTCCCCATCCAAACAGCGGCCGGGCCTGCTGACTGCATTCTAAGGGCTCCCAGCCATCCGCCCCACCCGGCGTGCTTCTCTGTCACGCCCCTCACTGCCTGCCCTGCGCACTGCAGCCCAATGGGGTGCCCGCCCCACAAAGCCTCCCCGACACCCTGCCTCCGCCCGCACAGCTCTCCAGCCCCAAGCCTACCCATTGCTCCTCCCGCCCGTCTGTCCTGCCTCAGCGTCGCTGCCCGTGCCCACCGTCCCCGTGACCTGACAAGCACAGGCACAGGGAGCAGCCGGACAGGCGGTAGACCGCACCCCCTTCTCTGCAGAGACCCCGAGAAGCCGCTCTGCCGGACAGACAGGCAAACCCCAGACACACTGAGCGCAGCGCGGAGGCGCCCACCTGCTGGAACTGCCCCTCGGACACGCCGTCGCGGTAGAAGATGATGCGCGTGGGCTTGAAGCGCGTGGACTTGTAGAACTGGATGAGCAGCTCACGCACCATGGCCGCCAGGTCCTGGATGATCTCCTGGCGGTGCTGCTGCACCCGCACGGTGGCGCAGTAGCGGTTGGGGTGGGCGTCCATGCTGCCCACGACCTGCGGGCAGGAGGCGGCGCGTCAGGAGCGGTGCTGCCGCTTCTCTTGGGCGGCGCCCGGCCTTCCTGGGCTCCCCGTGTGGAGGGGAAGCTGGCATTGGCTCCGTGCCTGGCACGGAGCAGGGCTGGCCCCATGAGCTGCCCCGGGCAGAGGGAAACCCAACAGGTGGCTCCGGACAAACGAGGAGCACACACGGCCACACGGCCCTCTGGCAGCCCCACGGGGTCGGCGGGACCTGCAGCCCTGGGCCTTCGCTCCTACCCCCAAGGGAGGCCGGGCTCAGCCCGAGGAAGGGGCAGCGGCCGGGTGTCAGCAGGGTCACCGTGAACCGGGGCCGCCACACCGCCTCCAGGGCCACCTCAGAGTCAGGAGGAGGGAGAGGGCTTCGGTTCCGGCCCGCGCACACGCCGAAAAGCAGGCCGGCAAGCCCCGAGTGCGGCGAGGCCGCCAGGAGCAGCGCCCCCCTGGTGGGACGGACACGCCGCTCTCACTGCTCCGCAGTCGCACTGACCCGCCCGCAGCGCCTCCCAGTGCCTTTCCCACGGGACCCGGACGTCCCCAGCTGCCACCTAGCAGCCTCCTGCTCTCAGGAAGAGCTCTGGCCGTCTGGCCGCAATGGGACCGTGTCCCCCCCGGCCCCCCCGCCCCCCGGCCCAGCGGACAGCGTGGCACTCACGGCAGCAATGGAAGGCTTCTTCCCGTCCCCCGCGGGGGGGTGCGTGACATCGGCTCCCAGGAAGATGACCGGCTGCTGGAACACGGGCGGCCTTCGGGGAGAAAGAGAGCTTGAGGCCAAGGCCGGGCACCGCCCACTCGCGCGGGCACCCGCTCCTGGGTGGCCAGGGCACTGGGCGAGGTTCTCTTAGCGACACACTCAGAAAGCCTCACAGTACGTGGCAAGGCCACGTGAGCTTCGGAAGAACCCATGGGGAGAGGTGTGGTGGGCCGGCCGCTGAGGCTGGACGGGGCGGGGGGGAGGGTCCCTCTCTGCGCACACAGAACGTTTCCCAAATAATACTTCCTGGCCCCCCAGGACTTGGGAAGCTGCTTGCTACCCCTTCCCGAGAGTGGGACGCGCGGCCAATGGACACAGTCCTCCCCACATCGGTACAGAGGGGCCAGCGGGCACCCCGCCCACCCGCCCACTGCCCTGCCTCACGGCCGACCTGAGCTTCTGGGGTTAGAAGGCCTCCTACCAACCCCTCCCCTAGCGCCGAGCGCCGCCGCTGGCGAGGCTGTGAGCAGCAGCGGGAGGAGCGCAGGCTCCGGCCCCCGCCTGTCTGCACACACACCCTGCGCCCCCACCTGCTGCTCCCACCCCCAGTTCTGGAGCATTCCCAACAGCAACCACTGCAGCCGTGACTCAAACCTGTGGCTGGGCTCCACGCTCCTCCCACGGCTCCCTCCCTGCCTCGCTCGCTTGCCTGGAGCACCTGCGGCGAAGCTCCGGAAGCAGAGGCCTTGCGCTTCCCACGTTCCCACGGCAACCAGACTCCTCTTTGCAAGGTCACCACCTGCCTGACCTGCACGCCACCCGTCCGGCCTCAAGACAAACCACTTTGGGGTCCTTGGAGGACCCTCCCCTCCCTTCTCAGGCTCCACTGCCAGCTCCTAATCTCCATGACCTTTAGCCCCAGACGCCCACATCCCTCCTGTCCGCACCCTCCAGCCGGGGGGGCTTTAAGTCCCACCTCCACACCAGGAGCCCTGACACCAGACCTCACCCTCCACCCACCGTCTCCCCTCGAGGCCGACAGAGGCCGACACCCACACACCCCCCCAGGGGACCCTCCAGGCTTCCTCACCACCAATGCTGCCTTCTCTCTCCACGGCCCGGGACCTTGGACTCATCCCGGAATCTCCTCTCCTCTCATCAAACCCAACAGGTCTCTGAGTGACCCTCCCCACCCCACTCCCTCCTCCGGGGATAAGGCAGGAGCCGACTGTGCTTTGGGAACAAGGTCGGACAGACCCCATTCACTCTCGAACCTCCAACTGCAGCATCCTGCCCAAGGGCGCCCCCTCTGTCCCCTCCTACGGGCGCAGCCCTGCCTGTCCGTCAGGAATGCTCTGCTCCCAGGCGCCCAGAGCTGCGCCCTCAGTGCTGGCCTCGGCCTCCTGAGCCGTCTCTGTCCCTGCGCTCACTGCTGTGGCCCAGTCCTGGCACACAGAGCCACTCAACGCACACAGACGCGCCCCCTGAGCTCGCCACCTGCACTCACAGGCCCTCCTTTAGCCCACGCACTGAGCCAGTTACAGACCCCAGCTGCAGCGTCTGTCAGTGACAGCAACACGCGTGCGTGCAGCGCCCCCACCCCGCTGCCCCCGCCCGGGGCCTCACCTGCCCTGAGGCAGCAGGATGTTGTTCACGCCCCCCAGCTTGACGTTGATCTTCAGGCAGAGGTTGGACAGCGTCTGCGGCGTGGTCCGCTGCACGTTCTTCATCTGCACGCACTGGGTGGCCATCCCCAGCACCGTGTCCCCCACACGCTTCACCTCGGCTGCGGCAGAGGGGACGGGGCGCTCAGGCCGCTCTCCTGGCACCTCCCTGAGCTCTCGCCTCGCCCGCCCGCCCGCCCACCCTGCGCCTGGGAGGCAGGGGCCAGGCAGGCGCAGGGAAATCAGAGCCTCTGGGTTCAAGTTCTGGCTCCAGCACCGCCCTCACTCCTCGGGCAGGAGGGATGGGCAGAGCCCAGCTGGAAGCCAGGGGCTGGCATTCCTGGGGCGGAATGTCATCTTCCCCCACAGCACCCAGGACTCGAGTCCCGGAATCCTGTGCATCCTCAGCTAACACCAGGCTGAGCTCACAGAGCGGACCGGGCCCACACCCCCCACCGCCCGGCTCCCTGGGGAAGCAGCGCCGCTCCCGCCAGCCGCCTGCCTACCGTAGACGGGGGTCTTGCCCGGCAGGATGACCACCACCAGCTGCAGGCCCGTGTACGTGTTCTTCAGGTGCCGGAACATCGGCTCCACGCTGTCGGCGCCCTGGGCGTACTTGCAGAAGCACGGCTGGCCCTGGATCGGCATCCCCGCGTCCCTGGAGATCTTTCTGAGCTGCTCCGTGAAGGACCTGGAGGGGGGGGCACATCAGGCCAGGAACCCCGCGTGCTGGAGTCCAGACCCAACCCAACCCGTGCCGGAGGTCGGGGTCGGAGCCGCCGCCCTGGACAGAGCTGGCCCGCGCGTTCCCGCGTGGAAAAGGGTGCAGTGCTAAGCACCCACAGGCCGCTGAGGAGTCACCCCAGCTCTTCGGCTCCAATAAACCGGAAGACTCCCAGCAGGCCCCACCCTGGCCCCCGCCCTGGCCGTGGCCCCGTGCAGAGTGACGAGGTGCCGTGCTCACGGCCCCGCTTCCATGGGACACACCCGCCCGCTCAGGCCGTGAATGCCCACCACTGTGGGAGGGGCCGTTGCCCTCGTGTGCACAGCGGGGAGACGTGGATGACATCATCGTGGAAAAGGCAGGACGGCGAAGCTAGAGTCACACCTGCGGCTGCGGCCAGCGGGCCGAGGCGCCGCGGCGGGCACGCACGCGGGCTCTATTCTAAGCTCCGGAGCAAAAACAACGGCGCCTTCGACAGAGGCTGAGGACACGGACCCAGCCCAGCCGGTCGGTGTTGACAAAGAAACACATTAGTGACTGCATTTAGCGTCCACGTGCACTGACCGCGGGGCCACCTGGCTCCAGGCAAAGCGGAAGGAAGGGGCCAGGACAGACCCCGGGGACGGCCCGGCCCAGACGTGGGCCCCAGCTCGACTCTGAAGGCTCTCGGGCGGCCAGCTGGCCCTGGGCGTGGGGGCCGACAGCAGCCGCCCCCACAGCCCCTCCCCCCACGGCAGCTCCCTCTGCAGAAATGTTCTTGGCTACACTCCCCGGCCTTGGTCTTGTCGCTCCCGCTTCCACCCGAGGGAGGAGGCGGCTCCGCCATGCGGGACGCTGCGGCTCCCGGCGCTGCCCAGCTCCCTGGAGGGGCGATCCCTGGCGGGGCTGTCGGGCACACTCCCTGCCCAGGACAGCTGCCCAGACGACCTCCATTCCGCCCCTTCCAGGGAATAAGGCCCCTCTGACCATCCCGGCCTCCTTCTGGCTTCATTTTCTCCGTCTCCCTCCGCACGGACTATGTCGCTAATGTTCACTGAGTCCGCTTCTCTCTCTTGCCTCCCCTTTTTTTTTTTTTAAAAAATATATTTTATTGATTTTTTACAGAGAGGAAGGGAGAGGGATAGAGAGTCAGAAACATCGATGAGAGAGAAACATCGATCAGCTGCCTCCTGCACACCCTCCACCGGGGATGTGCCTGCAACCAAGGTACATGCCCTTGACTGGAATCGAACCCAGGACCCTTCAGTCCGCAGGCTGACACTCTATCCGCTGAGCCAAACCGGTTAGGGCTCTCGCCTCCTTTTTTTAAAAAAAATGTATTTTATTGATTTTTTACAGAGAGGAAGGGAGAGGGATAGAGAGAAACATCGATGAGAGAGAAACATCGATCAGCTGCCTCCCGCACACTCCCTACTGGGGATGTGCCTGCAACTAAGGTACATGCCCTTGACCGGAATCGAACCTGGGACCCTTCAGTCCGCAGGCCGACGCTCTAACCGCTGAGCCAAACCGGTTGGGGCTCTCGCCTCCTTTTTTACACTCACTCCCGTTTGCTGTTCTCTCGTCTCATCTGTGCTGCCGTTCCCTCTGCTCAGACGGCTCCGAGCAGCTGTGGGGAGGGGCCCACACCGCACGGCCTGTCCCTGCACGGCCTGTCCCTGCGCGGCTGCGGCTCTGAGGCCGGGAGAGGCCGCCCACCCCGTGGCTCCCGCCCGAGCCCGCACGGCTGCTGGCGCCTTACTTGAGGTGGACCTCGGTGCACTGGCGCTGGGGCGCGAAGCAGGCGATGGCCCACACCTTGATCTCGATGCCCGTGTGAAATTGCTTGTTCCTCATGTCCCAGACGCCCTGCACCGGCGTGGCGACCGCTTTATTCTGCAAATGGCGAGACGGTCAGAGCGGGAACAATGGGAACACAGTCCCCGACCAGACAGTGGCTCCTGCGGCTCAGAACGGAATCTCTGTGTCGCGCACCTTGAGCTGCCCAGCACTGCAGGGGTCCAGGCGGCTGCGGGGAGCGGGCGGGGGGACAGGACGGAGGGACGGACAGAGGGGGATGGAGGGTGGCTGAGTGGATGGACGGGTGGTGGGTGAATGGACGGACGGGCGGGTAGATGAAGGCGTGAAGAGGTGAATGGACGGACGGTGAGTAGACAGGGACACTATGCAACTCACGTCACATATATACACACAACGATCTCCAAGACTTCTACGGGCTCTAAGAGAAATTACTAAGTAAAAAATAAAGCAAGGTGCAGAAGTGCATTTAATACGCCGTCTGCAGCCCGGCCGGTGTGGCTCAGTGTCGACCTAGGAACCAGGAGGTCACGGCTGGATTCCCAGTCGGGGCACATGCCCGGGTTGAGGGCTCGATCCCCTCAGTGTGGGGCGTGCGGGAGGCAGCCGATCAATGGTTCTCTCTCCTCATTGATGTTTCTCCCTCTTCCTTCCTCTGAAATCAATGAAAATAACAGAATAACATGCCTTCTGCACAAGAAGGGTGAAAACCCTGTGCCCACCCCTGGGCGGCTCGCAGAGGAGAAACACCAGTGGCTTCCTGGGGGCGACCGAGCTGAGAAAAAGAGACTTTTCCCTACAATTTCCTTGCTGCCTTCTGAGCTCTAAAACAAAAAATACGAAAGAAAAATACCCTACAAACAAAACTACCCCTTGCTGGCGGGGGACTCACTAGGAGCAAACATGCCCTCCAAGCTCCCGCTCCCCGCGGAGCCCGCCCCCCAGGCTGTGCACCCGAAGGGACCAGCCACGAGGAGGGAGGGGACCCACGCATGAGCCCCGAAGGCTCGGTGGCCAGGACGCCTCTGCTTACGTGCTGATAAAAGCTGGGGGTCAGGGGGCAAACCCAAAGAGACGCCCAGGTGACCGACTGCTGCGCCTGCAGCCCCCGCCCCCCTGCCCCCGGCACCAGGGCAGCGGGAAGCAGCGAGGCCTGGAAAGCAGCTCGTCGCCGAGAGCGCCCGCAGCCCAGGGCAGGGCTGCCACTCTCCATGGACACCAGTCACCCTCGGGAGATAGAGGCTGACTCCGAAAAACTTCAAGAAGAGCCAAGGAAACCGGCTCCCGTGCAGCCCTCACTCACTTCTCTGCCTGGACTTGGGCCGGCACCTGATGGGGGACACCCGTGGTCCGTGTGTGGACACCCCGGGCCCCGCCCCGCGCACGTACCCGGCCCCCGTAGAGGATGGAGGGCGGCTGCAGGACCCGGCCGGTCACGTCAGTCATCTCATCTTTGACCATGATTCCAAATTCCCGGACGTAGGGGTCAGTGTTGAAACTCGCACTCCTCATCTTGGAAAGGGGAGAACAGGCAGAGTCAGGGGTGTCGGCTGCTCCCAGAGCCGTGTCTGTCCCCACCCGGCCGCCCCCAGGACGGGACACTCACCAGCTTGCTAATCTCCTCTTGCCGATCGGGCGCCGACCTGGCCGTCGCTCTGATCATGGTTGAGGTCTGATTGTCAGTCAACTTCTTTATACATCTCTGTCCTGCCACGATGTTACAGACCTACAGAGGTGCAGACGCGGCGTCAGCGCAGGGCTGGGGGGCCCGGGACACGGGGGGCAGGGCTGACAGCAGGACTAAACCCCGCTGGTGACAAGGCACCACCCTGTGGGTGGCTGTCCAGGCGCCGGGCTGTGGCCTCCGTCCTCACAGGGAAACAGCTGCCCGCCACGGAAGTCCACCTCCGGGCCACGGTGGGTAAGCTGAGCCACGGCCTTCGATGGGGGGGGGTGGGGGCGGGGGGGGGCGCGCGGCGGTACACAAGGACCGAGAGTGTGAACCACCGACAGAAAAGCGCCAGGACCGGGCGCCCCGCGGGCCCTCTTCCCAGGCAGGGCATTTTCAAACAACCAGTGAGAAAGTTCATTCTCAGAGCACGTTCGCCCCTCGCCAGGGACCTGCCGGTACGAGGCGCCAGCTCTCATCTTCCACGCGAGGCGTGGCGAGGACCCGCAGGGGACGGGCGGGGGGGAGGGGCTTGCCTCGAGAGGAAGGTAGGTGTGTTTCTGCTCCTGCCCGACTTGTAAACATGGGAGGTGGGGGTAGCGCAGCACCAGCTTGTGCCGGTCCTTAAAGTACTGGGCCACCGTGCACTCCACCGTCTGCCCGCTCTCCTGCTGCAGCGGGAACCTAGGGGACAAAGAGGAGCCCGTGGGGATGGCGGCGGCAGAGGCGGAGGAGGCCCCCCGCGCCCGCCAGCCTGGGGCTGCGCCCCTCAGGGCGATGCTTGGGGCACACAGCCAAGGCCCCGCCCAGGGGCCAACAACACACCCACCCCTGGGTCACCTGGACCGTCCCAGGCCCTGCCCTGCCACGCTCCCCGCAGCTGGGAAATAAAAACGCCTGTGAGCCTGTATGCAGGATGCCACCGGCACACGCGGCCACAGGGACGCGGGGAATCGGCAGCCGAAGCCCAGCCGACTGCGCCCCACACTCTGGCTCTGAAACTGGTCCATGGCCGCGAGCTCCAGGTGCCAGCCGGGCCTGCAGCTCCCGGGTCTGCGCGGGCACCCTCGCCACCGTGTGGGTGGCCGGTGCGGGACCAGTGCCCCACACCCTCTGGGCCAGGAGACCCTGTGGAGGAGGGGGGGCGCACCTCCTGCTTCTCCCCAGGACGGTGCCCACCCTGCGGCCTGGCAGTCACTCCAGGGCCCTGGATCCGGCTGGTAAGTGAAGCCAGGGCCACTCACAGCTAAGACGGGGCCACGCCCAGGAACCGGGGGAGGGAGAGCAGCCCGCTGCTCCCAGCATGCTCAGCCCCGAGCTCGGGAGGAGGGGCCCCTGCTCTACACGGTGGGGAGGCTGGCGGGAGCCCCCAGGTTCCTTCCACTGTGAGGTTTGGGAACCCTGGGCTAATTTCAAAACCGACTGGATCCTTTTTCCCGGAGCCACTGCCCCCCAGGGCCCCTGCCTGGCGGGAGGGCCACGGCTGGGGGAGCGGTTACGTTTGGTTGCTGGCCGGCCGCCGGGTCACGTTGCAGACGCGGTACTTCCTCTTCATCTGCCCACAGTGTGTGATCTCCACCTTCAGACCTGGCGGCACAGAGCAGCGCCTCAGCCTCGGGCAGCCGGGCAGCCGGGCCCGGGCTCACCCAGGGCTGCCTCCACCCCGGCTCCGCCGAGGCCACGGCAGAAGAGGGGGGCGCGGGCTCAGCCTGGGCCCCCGGGCCTCCTTGGCTCCTTTCAGCAGCAGCGCCGCGGGGCCCTCGGAGCAGCCTCAGCGAAGTGCCGGCGCCGACGGCCGAGCCGGGTCCCTGGGCCCCAGTCGCTGCTCCAGGAGCCCCGGGCAGAGGGAGCGCGACAGCGCGGGGCTGCGAGGTGACCCCCAGAACCAGGGCGCCCGCACCTGCGGGGCCGCAGGACACTGAGCACAGCCACGCGGCCGCTGGGCCTGACCTCGGGGGGGGGGGGGGGGGGGAAGCTGGTGGTCGCCCTCGCCCACAGGCGTCGAGGCAGGGAGGGCCCCCCCCCCCCCCCCCCGCGGAGAAGTGGGCTCGCTCGCCTGGGGGTGCCCCCGCCCCCGCCCCTCGGACCCAGGCGGGCACCCACCTTTGATTTCTTTGGTAAACTTGACCCTTTGGGAATCTGTCAGAGGTTTCTGTTGTTCTTCAATACTTTTAAAATCCAGAACTTCACAAACAAACTCGATGACTGGCTGTGCCTTATAGAACGCCGTTGCCGAGACTGGAGGCGGGAAAAGAGACACAGGCAGGGGCGTGACCGGGTCGCCCTGCGCCCCCTCACTGACCGCAAAGCCCACCCTCGGGCCTTGGAGACGGGCAGAGCCGGCGGTTCACGCCTCGGGCTGCTGGAGGCGACCGTCCCCCTCGGAGACCGACACCCCAACATCACGCCCATGAAGGCTGGATTCCCGACCCTCCGAGGCAGGGCTCTCTGAGATGACAGCCCTGGGCACAGCCTGAGAACCTCCGGGAGACAAGGGGACAGGCAGTGGGGGGTCCACCCAGTCCCCCCGAAAACCCCATCCTGCCCTGTGGCCGCGGCCGCGGCCTCTGGGACCTTGTTAGATGCGGGCCCTGTGGGTGGCTCCTCCGCGAGGACCACGCCCGACCGCCAGGCAGGGGACACAGGCCGGAGACACAGCAGCTCGGGCTCGGCAGTGGCCGTTGGGAGCTGGCCGGCCACAGGGGCCCTTCGAGGTCGCGGCCCCCAGCAAGCCCCACCCAGCCCCACAGTGAAAACGAGCCCTGCTCACCATCAATATTTAGCATCATTTTCCAAAGAGAAGGGCGGACAGACTGATGGAAGCCGAACCACACTTCCCGGCCGCCGCCCAGGGGGTTGGAGCAGCCCTCGGAGGCCGTGAAGAAGGAGCGGCCCACGGGCGTGTACCTGCAACCAGAGACCCGGCTGAGCTCGCAGCTGCGCCACCTCCCGCCCAGCGAGTTCAGGCGGCGACTGGTGGGGACGTGACCACAGAATGAAGCAGAAGTCTCATCGCGCCCGGGCCCTGAGCCCCGACAGGCTCCCCCGGGGCCGCTCCGTCCTGCGGAGTGTGGGCACTAGGCCCCCGACAAGTCCCAAGTGTGGAGGCCACAGGGAGACGGTGGAACGGCAGCGCTCAGGCCCCGCGGAGTGGAAGCCGCAGCTGCGCCCCACGCGGGGAGGGGGCCCTGCTGGGCTGGGAATTCCCGGGAATCTCTTTCGCATTAAAAATGTCCCCCCGTTAGCACTGCTGGGCTCGCACGACGCAAATGCACACGACCGTCCCAGGGGACCGGGCCAGCTCCCCGCGCCCCACCGCGGCGGGCCTCACCTCATGGACGGCAGGTGCCTCATGACCACGTCGAGGGCCTGGATCGTCTCGAAGGGGACGCTGGGCAGCCGCCCCGAAAGTGCATCGTGTAACGCCTGCAAGCTCACGCAGGACACCCACTTGATGGACACCTTGAAGATGCGGTCCTTCCCTTCGCCCGGCAGCGTGACCTCCAGCTCCACCTGGGGGCCCAGAGCGCAGGTCATCCACGCGGGCCTCCGCCCCACGTCAGAGGGGGTCACGCTCAGCTGGGGGTCGGGTCAGCTCCTCTGAGGAGCGCGTCCCCGGAAGAGGCAGGGCGGCCTGCGGGGGCCCTGGGAGTTCTGTCCCAACGGAAAGAACCGGCAGCGAGCTCTGCAGGGACCGAGTCACGAAGAGAAACCCTTCCCAGACGGACGGGTGGGCGTGGAATCCGACCTGCCCGCCCAGCTCAGTGGTTGAGCATCGACCTAGGAACCACTGATGCTTCTCTCTCCCTCTCCCTTCCTCCCTGAAACCAATATAAATATATATATTTCTTAAAAGAGGAACCCGACCTATTTTACCCCGAGCTGTGCTGCCAACTTCTATGGGGGCACGTTTCACATTCGAACAGCATGGGGACTCCCCCCCGAAGGAAAGTGGGGACCCCCCGAAGGAAAGTGCTCCTGAGCCCCTGGCGCAGCGATACACACGCAGACGAGTCTGAATGGGCTCGGTGTGGCTTTCCTTCTCACACTTTAACCAAAAACAAGTGTCAAGTCAAACGCAAAGCTCTCATCAATGAGTCTCCAACGCTCCGCTCGCTGGTTTGCAGGGCGCCTCCCGCGCTGGCGGGCAGGGTCCGGGCACCCCCGGGGGGACACCGGGCCATCGCCCCGTGCCAGGGGTGCCCGTGCTATCTGAGCCACCAGCCTTCAGCACGGAGCCTTATCACGAGGCGCCTGGCCCAACGCCTCTGCTCTTATCGGCACAGCCCCCGCCGGAGCCGGAGCCGGAGCCGCAGCCGCAGCCGCAGCCGCAGCCGGAGCTGCCCACGGGCACAGGAGCTCTGTCTCCTTAGGGTGATGACTAAACGCACAGCAAACACCGCGAGCCTGCCGGGCGCACGGACAGCGGGCAGCAGGCAGGGCAGCAGGCGAGGCCTCCGCGCTCAACCGCCCCGCAGGGACACCTTCGAGGCGGGAACTTCACCATTTTTTAAACAGCCACTCGCCCCGGAGCAGGACACAGACGGGAAGAGAGGGCGGCTTCGAGCACGCAGGCCTCCCCGTGTCGGTCACTCCAGGTGAACCACTGGCTACAGGCAAAAGTCAGCCTTGTTTTATTGCCACGGACACACACACACACATGCCTACAGCCGTGCGGGCACCTCTCCTCAGGCGTCACCACCCCAGGGGCCACCGGGCTCCTGTCTGCACACCTGGCAGCACCTGCCCCGTGGGCCTGTCTCACATGGGAAAGCCCAGTGGTTTCAAGACCTTCTCAATTCCTGTCTCCCAGGGCACCGGGCGGCGTCCGGACAGGCCAGCGCGCTCCCCCGCGGGATGGTCCCGCACAGCCAGCCACACGCAGGGCCCAGGCCCCGCCCGGGACTCACCTTCTCCCGCCCGATCGGAAGGGGCATCGCTGTGTAGAGGTTCTTCCTCCCGTCGAACACTGGCTTCCGATCCCCGAAGATCTGAGTTTTAAAGTGCTGGACCATGTGCTCCACTATTTCCCTGCCACAGGACAGACGCGAGCAAAATGTTAAGAGCGGACAAGAGGCCCAGGCGCCACACCCTCCCGGCCTCGGCTCGTCAGGAACGTGAGGCCCGGCCCCGAAGGAGTGCCCGGCCCTATCCCGGTGCGGCCTCTCGGTCGGGCTCCGGGACAAGGACCCTGAATTTCCCTCAGACCCCGAGTCAGCCTGACCAGCGGCCCAGGCACCACCCGCAGGTGTCCGCTGATACCCGACGTGGGTGCTGTCTGTCCTGGGGCCTCACAGCAGCTGGCCCCGGTTCACAGGAGCTGCTCCGCCAAGTGCCCCCGGGCACCATGGGCCACGTGAGAGCCACACCCCGCAGAGGCGCCGACCGGCGGGGGCAGGAGGAGCAGGGCCACGCTGGCACGTCTGCCGGCAGCTCAGGGCCGGTCGCGGCACCGAAATTCAACTCACGACCACGGGACGCGCGCACACTCAGTGCCTAGCAAAGTACAGGCGGGATGACCGTGACCCTGGCCTGGCCCTGCGGCCCTCCAGGCAGACATGTGAAGGACGGATAGCGAGTGGCCGGCAGGGGGATGTGGCAAAGGGGAGACAATCCTGAGAGCAGGACAGAGGGCGGGGCGGGGCGGGGGGGGGGGAGGGAGGGACCTAAAACTTCCCCACGCTGGGGCCTGAGCCCAGCTCTGCGCAGGCTTCTCTCGGGCAGCCCTGCCCCGTCAGGAAGCAAGAATCAAAGGCACCCCTCCGTCCCCAGAAAGCACGGACAGCCGGCCTGCCCAGCTCTGCCCGCCGACCTTGCACGGCGCAATCACAGGGACCCCGCAGTCCGGCCCGGACACCCTGTGCCCAGGAGTCCCCGGGGCAGACGGAGCCTCTCCATGCATCTCCTCTGATGGCGCCACCGAGAACGCACCAGGCCTCCGGCCTCCGACACCACCTGGGAGATCACAGCCCGGGCAGCGCAAAGCGAGGGCCTCCGCGCAACGCCCCTGCGCCTCCGTGTGCCACTGGCCACCGCGCCTCTCCAGCCACGGCTCCCCAAGCCTCAAGGCCCATCTTCATGGCCAAGGCGTCCATCGCCTCAAGGTCAGGTGGCTCCGCTGGGAGCTCCACCCACATGGAGAACGTGACCGTGAGCAGGATGGAGAGGGCGCCGCCCAACCATTCTCTGAGGCTGGCAAAGCTTTCATTGTTTTAAAATGTATTTTTATTGATTCCAGAGGGGAAGAGGGAGGGGGAGGGGGAGAGGGAGGGGGGGTGGGGGAGGGGGAGGGAGAGAAACATCAATGAGGAGAGAGAATCATTTATCGGCCGCCTCCTGCATGCCCCACTAGGGATCGAGCCTGCAACCTGGGCATGTGCCCTGACCGGGAATCGGACCACGACCTCCTGGTCCATAGGTCGGTACTCAATCACTGAGCCACGCCGGCCGGGCAAGGCTAGCGCAGCTTTTATCTCAACGCCCGACAAGGTGATCATGGGCCAATCTCACTGATAAACACAGACGCAGAAACAAAGCAGTAACAAAAGGAATCCAGCAACAAGTCAACAATAATACAACGTGTCAAGGTTGGGCAGACGCCAGGATTGAAAGGTCGGGTTTAAAGGATGAACGTAATTATGTGTAACAAATTACAGACTTAAGTAACAGCCAGCTATAGACCTTCTGGAGGGAAGCAAAAGAGAAAAATCTGTAAGAAGCTGGGCAGACAAGATGTCTCAGCACATAAAACAGTCTCAACTGTGAAAGAAAAGATTAACCGGACGATAGAAAAATCAAACGTCTTTCTCTTAAGACACCTTCACTTGTGAAAAGAAAAGGCAGGCCGCTGCCTGGGAGAAATAGGCAAAAAACCACCGACGAGGACGCGACCGGCTACAGGTCAGAGACGACAGCGGCTGCTGGGTGGGCCCGAAGGAGACCTCGGGCGGAATCGAGAGCCCAGAGGACCGTGGCCTCGCGCACGTTTCATTTACGTCAGAAGCAGCAGGAGCGAGAAGAGCTGAGGCAAAGCAACGAACTGGAGCCCGTGCACCTGACACAAGGTCTGCTCCATGCCTGCTGCCCCTCACCCGGCTGCGGGCAGGAGGCACCGGGAACGCCCAGGTCCAGCAGGCAGCTCCCCGGGCTGAGGGAACAGCTGTGCCAAGGGGACTCTGCTCGACCATTACAGCCAGCACCCCGATGGGGGACACGCCGCCCCCCGATGGTGGCACCATTCTCTTGGCCTTGGCGCAGCCTCTGGGGGACTCTACCCAGTGTCTCCAGGGCACACTGCCCCGTAGGGAGCACAGTGTGGAAGGGGAGGGTCGGGGTGTCTGGAGCTGGCCTGGCAGCAGCACCCCAGGGGACAGCCCAGCCTGAATCCAGTCCTCATCACGGCCTCACATTCCAGCCTCAGCCTTCCTCGGCCTGTGCTGACCTGCAGCCCCGCTGCCGCCGGTCTGGCCCCTCCTCCCCACCACTCACCCGGGCCAGTGCCCATCCCAGGAGGGGGTTCCCTCAAGGTGGCAGGAGCCGCCCAGTCGGTGTCAGCACCAACACGCCCACATTTTCCTGGACTACTTTGACTGTAATTGCGGCAGGGCCTTAGCCAAACCACACCACAATCAATCCTGTATAATAAAGAGCGAATACACAATGGTCGTCACGCCCTCGTGCCAGGGCTGGGGGACCTGAGGCCGCGCCCCCCGCCCCGGCCGGGGGACCTGAGGCCGCGCCCCCCGCCCCGGCCGGGGGACCTGAGGCCGCGCCCCCCGCCCCGGCCGGGGGACCTGAGGCCGCGCCCCCCACCCTGGCTGGGGGACCTGAGGCTGTGCCCCCTGCCCCGGCCGGGGGACCTGAGGCCGCGCCCCCCGCCCTGGCCGGGGGACCTGAGGCCGTGCCCCCCGCTCTGCGGGGCTTGACGGGGGTGGGGCCGGCCGGGTCTGGGTCTTGCACCATTTCAAGGTGCGTGTGGGTGGGTGGCGACTTGACTCTGCGTCCCGCGGTGCGCCCCAGACTCTGACAGGAGGGAGATTTTCATACACATTTTACCAATTTTTTTTTCATCTCTGACACTTCTATTATAGAGAAAGGGCAAATAGCAATATTAAAATATTTCCTCTAATTAATTCCCTTTTAATGTGCACGAATTTTGTGCACCGGACCAGTAGTAAAATAAAAAACCCCAGACGCTCACACACTTAACCAGGCGGCAACGCCCAGGCTCGGCACCCAGGGGCAGCAGGACACGCTGGGACATGGCTGGCGGTGGCCAGAGGTGCCGCCCAGGGCCCGCCTTTGCTCCTTTCTGTCTGACTCGAGGGAATTTCTAGTGGGTAACTTTCAAACCCAGCGGGGGGGTGGTGGTGGGGCAAGACACCTCGCTTTAATCACCGCCAACCACTTCCGTGGCCAGATAACACAGCCTCAGGCAGACCTGTTTTCATAAAAGGTGCTCCCTGCGCGCTGTGGTTGGCGGCACAATCAGACCCACCGCCCGGACCACCAGGGCCCGGGAAGTGCTGCCTCCGTGCCCTCCACCAGCACCGAGTGTCCTGACCAGACTCTCACACACAAACCAACAAGCCCCCAATAACCCCAACAACTTACGTGAGATGACGGACTCCTTAAAAGACACAAACTACCAAAACTAATACAGAAAGAAATGAAACAAACAAACAAACAAACAAACAAAAAAAACAACAAAAAACGGAATAGTCTACTATCTGGTAAAGAAATCAAACTGTTGCCGGCCGGCGTGGGTCAGGGGCTGAGCGCCAACCCAGGAGCCAGGAGGTCACGGTGTGATTCCTGGTAGGGCACAGGCCGGGGTGTGGGCTCGATCCTAGTAGGGGGCAGGCAGGAGGCAGCCGATCCATGGTTCTCTCATCGTGGATGTTTCTATCTCACTCTCCCCCTCGCTCTCCCTTACTCTGTGGAATCAATAAAAACATATTTTAAAATATACAATTTGGTGGTTTTAGCGGATTAGAGAGTTCTGTAGCCATCAGCACCATGTCAGTTTTGAACACCTTCATCACCCCAGAAACCCCAGACTCATTAGCAGTCACTCCCGCCCCTTCTAGAGAAATGAAATGTTCAAATACAACTTAGAGTAACAACATAACATCCTGGAGAACAAATAGACCCCCGAGCTGCACATTATGAATAATTGCGAAGAGAAACTACGGCAGCCGCCTGTCGAGAACGTGCTGCGTTTATGGACTGAAGACTCCGTGGCAATCCCCCCAAACTTAACGACAGATCACAGCAACCCAGTGCCAGCTCCCAGAGCGGGCTGGCAGCTCGTGAACGTAAACCGATCCCCTGAAGGTGGCAGGCCGAGCAGCGCTGTGTAACAGACCCTCACCTCACACCGTGCAAACCATCATTTCAAGACGGACCGAGACCCAGGTGCACAAGTCACACTGTCATCCTTGTAAAAATATCAAATAAAGATAGGGTATCTTTGTTACCTCCGGGAAAGCGAACGCTCCTTAGAGAGAACCCACCGTGTAAAAACCATTTTCAAAATTTGCTGCTGTACTTCAGAGACATAGAAAGCTCTGCTCACAACGACGCCGGCGGTGAAATGGCCAGCTCCGCTGTGCGGCTCGCCCAGTCACACCTGCGCCCACAGACACACGGCCCCCCAGCCCCGGAACCAAAGACAAGCACCGAAGGCCGGAGAAGACCAGCCGGCCAGCGCGTGCCGACAGGGCGCAGAGCGGGCCCACTGGCCGTTTCCCACACCCACACCCGCACCTGCACCCGCACCCACCCTGTGCCCGCCCCGTGCCCGCCCTGTGCCCGCAATCCCCCTCCCCGCTATGTGTCTAAGAGAAACGTGGACGTGCTGGTCACAAACACGACGAAAGCAGGTTCACAGCAGCTTCGTGCAAAGCCCGGCGGCCGAGCCTCTAACAGGAGGGGGAGTGACTAGATGATGCAACGGCCCAGGCTGGTGTGGCTCAGTGGATAGAGCGTCGGCTTGCACAGCAAGGGGTCCCGGGTTCCATTCCGGTCAGGGGCATGTGCCTGGTTGCAGGTTCCTCCCCGGCCCGGGCTGTGGTCGGGGCTCGTGCAGGAGACACACAATCGATGTCTTTCTCACATCGGGTCTCTCTGTCTCTCCCCCTCTCTCTAAAATCAATGGAAAAACACCCTCAGGTGAGGATTAAAAAAGAACAATAAATAGATAAATAAATGAAATGATGAGCTATTCACGTCAGACGGTCCTGAGCAGTAAAACAAGAAGCTCCTAACACAAGGATGCCGGTCCACCTAGAAACATGAGCGGACGGACAAGGGGCCGAGCCCGCGGCGATACGGCTCGGACACGACCTCAGAGCGCAGGGCCAACGGGCAGGGGCGGGCAGCTGTGAGCGTCTGGACACGCACTTCACTGCACCGCGAGACAAAACCGCTTTCCACAGCATCCACGCGACGGGAAGGAACTTCCAGGGGAGGAAGTGGGAGGCCCCGCTGGACCGAGCTGACCAGCACCTGTGTCTGCAGCAAAGTTCACACCGACCGACCGACCGACCAACCCGTCCTGAGGAGGACACGGTACCTGTTCACTCTCCGCGGGCATTTCTCTGGCTTGATATCCAACTCGTAGTGATAGATGTCGATTTTCGGAATGTCCATTTCAAAGAAGTTGGCCTGTAACTTGATTGTTCTCCCCGAGGTCCCGAAGTCCGGTCTGGGCGGAGGCTTGAAGGCATATCCTTGGATGGGCGGCGGCGGCGGCGCCGGAGGCGCGAGCACTGCAAGGCAAAGAGGTCACGTCACGCGGGAACGGAACGGGAACGGGAACGGGAACGGGCGGCTCCCTGAAGCAGGATGGTCCTGGCTGAGCCATCCTCCCCCTCCCCGGACCCCACACCCAGTGCCCCCCCCACCACGTCCTCCCCTGGCTCTGCCCAAACCCCTGAAATGTTGCATTTTCCTGCTGAGCGCTCACAGCCCACAGCCCTGCACCCGCAGCCCCTCCTGCCATCACAGCCTGGTCTGCCCACTGCCAAGACCCTTCCCCACCTCATCCACGGCCACTGCACGACCCTCATCACTGTCCCACCCGCCTCCGCCCAGTGCTCTCTGCTTCCAGGCCGTGTCTGAGTCACCTGCCCAGCGCCTCCGTGGCTCCCCAGCACCACTCGACACCTAGGCACCCGCAAATCCCCACAACCTGGCCCGGCCTCACCCCCCAGGGCCAAGACCCCAGGCCCTGCCCACAGTCCCGGTCCTGACGGGGCCCATCAGCTCCTCACAGCGCTGGCTCCCTCCCTCCCTCCCTCGCGTGCCCAGTGCAGGCGTGCCAGCCTGTGCTACCCCCACAACTGAGGTGCCTGGCTCCCCAGTGGGAACATGAGCATCTCCGAGGGTCTGAGAGCACGTGACACACAGTAGGAGCGCAGGCCCTCGATCCCCCTCGCTTACCCGCGAGGACACCGACACTCAGACGGCGAGGAGAGGTGAGTCACACGGAGCCTGCCCTCCACGGTGGCCACCAAGCCACGCGCTGACCAGCTCCTCCAGTGACTCCCGGGCCCCTCACAGCTGTGCGGGGCCCACGGGCACCTGCACGGCCACGGTCTCTCTGGTCCCGGAAACCGCGACTCAGCACCTCTAGTCTAGACAGCGGCCCCCACTCCCCACCCCGACAGGCAGCGTCTCCACAGAGCCAGCGCCTCGCTCAGAGGGCCCGCAAACCGCTCGGCGTCGCCTCGCCTGCACGGGAGACGGGAGGGCGGGCACTGTGAGCGGCGGCAAGGAGACAGGCGAGTCATCGACGGCCGGCACCACTATTCACACCGCCGACTGGACGGGGTGCGCTCCCAAAGGAAGCAGGAGCTCCATCCCCACTAAAATGGGCAGTGATTCCACCACAGCCGCTAGAACCCTGGTCTCAGCCTCAGCGGACAGAGCGCCAGCCTGTGGACTGAAGGGCACATTGATTTCCGATCAAGGGCACAGGCCCGGGTTGCAGGCTTGATCTCCAGTAGGGGGCGTGCAGGAGGCAGCCGATCAACGATTCTCTCTTCATTGATGTTTCTCTCTCCTGCCCTTCCTCTCTGAAATCAATAAAGATGTATTTTTAAAAGATAAACTGTGATTTTAGGAAAATTTCCCCCCAATAATTGAATACTTTTAATTTTCACTCCAATGTCTGTGGTTTCTTAATCCTCTGAATTAAGAAAGATCCAGAGCCTTCTATGCCCGCGTCCCCTGGAGCGCGCCCTCGGACGGCAACGGGAGCGGCTCCGCTCTCCTCCCCTCGCAGCCCGGAGCCCGGCTCCTCACATTTATTTTGTTTTCTTTCTGTGGAAAGCGAGCTGGCGCCCGAGGTTACTGGCCTCACGCAGCTCCGTCTGGAAGCCTTCAGGCCTCTCCCTGCCGCGACTCCACAGATGACACACTCACAGATTGCACAACACGCTGTACGTGCCGGGGCGGGCGCCAGGGACAGGGACTCGCCAAAGCACGGCTCTCCGTGCTCACGTGTCGCCTCCCGGGAGCGCCCGGGCCAGCCAGCAAGTGGCTGTGGTGCGTCCACTTCTCGGAAGCCCAGCAGGTCACATGACCCTGCGCCAGGGCCCCCACCGTGCCCAGGAGCCGACAGAGTGACACCAAACCCAGGCCCTCGGCACCCCCCCAGCCCCGCCCGCCAGGCCTGAAGGCCTCACCTCGCTTAAATCTGACACCCACACAGGCCAGGCCTCGGGCCCATTCCTCAGGGGGCCTGCTTTTCCTCCGTCCCCAACACCTGTTCCTTCTACGGGGCTGGCCCTGGGACACAAAGAAAACCGTCCAGCCTGCTTGCACTACGCTGTCAGAGCAACGCAGAGACTGCGACAGCGACACAGTAATCCCTAACTCCACCAGCTTTGTCTCCTTCCAGCTTTTTAAAAAATATATTTTTATTGATTTCAGAGAGGAAGGGAGAGGGAGATAGAAACATCAATGATGAGAGAGAATCATTGACCGGCTGCCTCCTGCACGCCCCCTACTAGGATCGAGCCCACAACTCGGGCATGTGCTCTGACCGGGAATTGAACCCGACCCTTCAGTCCGAAGGTCGACGCTCTATCCACTGAGCCACACCAGCGAGGCCCTCCTTCCAGCCTTTGCGAATGGCAGCCCTGAGAGCGGTGGGAAGACATTGGGGGTGCGAGGGGAGCCCACCAGCAGGGGCCTGGTGGGCACGCGCCCCTGGCTGCCTCCTGCACCGCGGCCCCTGCAGCGGGCGCTTGCTCCAACCCGGGCGCAGCATGGCTCCTGCAGGGCGGGGCAGCGAGGAGGCCGTCTGGTCTGCACCAGAGGCCGTGGCCGCAGAAAACACCAGCGCATCCGCCGGGAGGGTTTCAAGACGCACCCTCGGGAAGTCACAGAGGCGGAATGTGCCGTGAAGTTGGCGGGAACTCTGGGCGCGAAGGACCCCGGCTGTCGGGGGGCTCGGCCTCCCACACCCCCTGGGGCGGTGTTCCAGCAACCACGAGGTGACGGGCCACCGAACAAGCCCGGTGCCTGTCACCTCTGACAAGATCGACAAAACCGCAAGAGAAGAAAGGAGACGCCACCCGCCCGCGGGCCCTGCCCAGCAGGAACCGCCCAAGCCCCGCCCCTGCACTGAGGACTCCCTGCGTCCCCGGGGCGTGGGCTCCCGGGACCCAGGCCTCCCACATCCCCTCCCTCCTCTGCCCACTGGGGCGCTGGTTTCGCCGAGCGGGTCTCCTGTTGTTTCTGTAACTTAGTCCTGCTCTGCGTACGGGAAATCCCTGAGGAATGGGAACGCGGGGCGCTGGCCAGTGAGGCCGGCTGTGCTGAGGGAGCTCGTCCCCGCGGCCAGCTCATCCCCGCGGCCAGCTCATCCCGCGGCCAGCTCATCCCCGCGGCCAGCTCATCCCCGCAGCCCCGCGGCCAGCTCGTCCCCGCGGCCAGCTCGTCCCCGCGGCCAGCTCATCCCCGCGGCCAGCTCATCCCCGCGGCCAGCTCAGACCCACGGCCAGCTCATCCCCGCGGCCAGCTCATCCCCGCGGCCAGCTCATCCCCGCGGCCCGCTCATCCCCGCGGCCAGCTCATCCCCGCGGCCAGCTCATCCCCGCGGCCCGCTCATCCCCGCGGCCAGCTCATCCCCGCGGCCCGCTCATCCCCGCGGCCTGCTCATCCCCGCGGCCATTCAGCCCCTCGGCCAGCTCATCCCCGCGGCCATTCAGCCCCCCGGCCAGCTCATCCCCGCGGCCAGCTCATCCCCGCGGCCATTCAGCCCCACGGCCAGCTCATCCCCGCGGCCCGCTCATCCCCGCGGCCAGCTCATCCCCGCGGCCCGCTCATCCCCGCGGCCCGCTCATCCCCGCGGCCATTCAGCCCCACGGCCAGCTCATCCCCACGGCCAGCTCATCCCCGCGGCCATTCAGCCCCGTGGCCCGCTCATCCCCGCGGCCCGCTCATCCCCACGGCCCGCTCATCCCCGCGGCCATTCAGCCCCGTGGCCCGCTCATCCCCGCGGCCATTCAGCCCCGTGGCCCGCTCATCCCCGCGGCCCGCTCATCCCCGCGGCCCGCTCATCCCCGCGGCCCGCTCATCCCCGCGGCCATTCAGCCCCGCAGCCAGCTCATCCCCGCGGCCAGCTCATCCCCGAGGCCCGCTCATCCCCGCGGCCCGCTCATCCCCACGGCCAGCTCATCCCCGCGGCCATTCAGCCCCGCAGCCCGCTTCGGCCCGCTCATCCCCGCGGCCCGCTCATCCCCGCGGCCCGCTCATCCCCGCGGCCCGCTCATCCCCGCGGCCATTCAGCCCCGCAGCCCGCTCATCCCCGCGGCCATTCAGCCCCACGGCCAGCTCATCCCCACGGCCAGCTCATCCCCGCGGCCATTCAGCCCCGCAGCCCGCTCATCCCCGCGGCCATTCAGCCCCGCGGCCAGCTCATCCCCGCGGCCCGCTCATCCCCACGGCCAGCTCATCCCCGCGGCCCGCTCATCCCCGCGGCCCGCTCATCCCCGCGGCCATTCAGCCCCGCGGCCCGCTCATCCCCGCGGCCCGCTCATCCCCGCGGCCCGCTCATCCCCACGGCCAGCTCATCCCCGCGGCCCGCTCATCCCTGCAGCCCCGCGGCCAGCTCATCCCCGCGGCCAGCTCATCCCCGCGGCCCGCTCATCCCCACGGCCAGCGCATCCCCGCGGCCTGTCAGCTCCAGGGCCTTCAGTGATGACTCTGTCTCAGGCCCTCCTGGCCAGAGCGACCTCGAGGGCTGGGTCCCTGAGCTGAGCACACAGCAGTGCTGGGACTGCAGCGAGCGGGCTGGCCCGCCTGCCCATCACCGGCACACGTGTCTAAAAATTCCACTTTTAGCCCAGCCCGTGTGGCTCAGTGGTTGCGCGTGGACCCACGAACCAGGAGGTCACGGTTCCTGATCAGGGCACATGCCCAGGTTGCAGGCTGGATCCCCAGTGGGGGGCGTGCAGGAGGCAGCCGATTGATGATTCGCTCTCATCATTGATGACTCTCTCTCCCTCTCCCTTCCTCCCTCTCGCTCTCTCGCTCTAAAAAAAAGAAGCTTTTAAGCAAATTCCATTTTTAGAGGCGCGTCTCAGTGAAAGGGAAATGTAGTGAATGAGTCACCGGCTTCCTGTGCGTAAGTGGGTCACAGCCCAAGAGTTTCGGAGTTTCTCACAGACGCTGGGGCGCTTGCCATCACGGTGCTGAGGAGCCCCCCCACCCGGGGCAGGGTTGGCCCAGCTTTTCAGGGGTCGCAGAGCAGGGCTGG